TAATAATAATAATCTCTCTGGCAGGTACATGTCCAGCTGTATTTTAAAACTTAAACTGTCATCTGAAAAGAATAAAAGAAAAGGGAGAACTTAAAACAGTCACAAAGAAAACACAAACACATACACGGATAATAAAACTGGGATCCAGTCAGTTCTTCAACTTTTCCCTTTTATGCCACACTGGTTTTCTCGATTCTTCTTCGTCTCCTGGGGGAGATTGGGGGGGGGGGTCCACGAGTTCTTATAAAACGCTCGAGTTTTCAGTCTTCACCTGGAAGAGCTGAAACGCTTCACACCAATCAAAGCCTCAGTCACGGCTCGGTAAAGTCCAGATCAACACACACCGCTGCTCCTTTCAGCTCATCAGAAGAGTCATGATTTGGTAAAATCCTAGCAGTTTAAAAATAAAAATCTAAGAGTAACTACTGACATCTACAGGTGAGGCAGATTTTGAACACACACACACAGGATGCCAGATAAATAAACAAAACAAGGCAGGAGAGAAGCTGAACTGAACAGAGGTGATTGGCAGAATAAACACAAGAGCTTGAAAACATTTCAGAAAAAAAAAAAATGAAATCCATGGCAGTATTATAAGCTTAAAGAATTGGACTTTTTTTCTGCACAGTGAAGCTCTGGACAGTCCAACGTCAGAGATCTACAGTGTGAACCGGGCTGAGTGGAGGTCTGAATAACTTTAACGTTATCAGTAATGTGGTTCTGTGATTTTAAATAAAACAACCGTCTGAGACTCAAAGTGCCTTTTCTTTCCCACCATAATGACAAAACTCTGTGTGAGATTATAAAAATTATATGAAAGAATCCATGATTGTCACTTAAATACAAAAATCAAAACTACAAATAAAGCCTTTGGCAAACAAAACTATTAATAATAAAAAAAAAAATTGTCCGGTTTCTGGTTGACATTTAGTTGAGAACCGTTTTTCATGTCAACAAAGTTTTTATGTTTATTGTAAAGACTGGAAACTGCTTCATAAAAAATGCTTAAAACATTAAAGGATATTATAGGTTTGTGCTTGAATTAAGGCATACCAGAGAATATGCCAATTTTAGAGTCAACTTATTTAAAAACATTTTGTGCAACAAACTGCTCTTTAATAGCACAAATATGATGCAGTTTGATTGAACATATAAATGTGTTTTATTTAACGGAGCTTGAGATGTTTAGAAAAAAKAATTAAAAATGAGTTTATATTTTGGGTTTGTGTGAGCAGTGTCGACTCTGGCAGTCCGATCTAGACAAAAACAGGCAGGGCGTTCGCAGTCTGTATCCTAAACTCTTCAAACTGACAAAAGCTGATATTGTATGATGATGTATGATGTATAGCTGACATTTGTGACCCATTATATCAAAATGAGAATTAAGTTAAATTTGGTCAAAATGACCTAATCACATCTTCAGGTTCCTGGCTTTAAAAGCTACATTTTGACACCTGGATCTTTCTGATGTTAGCGTTTCCAGAGATATGACTCAATTTGTCTTGTTGGTTAYGATAATACATTAATATCTGGTCTAATATTAATTTTAATTATAGATTTTTGAAGTTATTATAAAGAGGAAACATCAAATAGTATTTAAATATTGAGATTTCCTAGCTGGAAAGAAAAAGTTTTACTAGCTCACAGGAAAAATCTCTAAATTTTAAGGCGTTTTTCCTCAAAATCAGTTTTTTTGTTGCCAAAAGTGCTTCAAAAATGTTTTAGGATTATATTTCAGACAGTTCATTGATAAGAATAATGATTTGTTATATTATGATAAAATACAATTTTTATAAACTTTAAACAAAACCCCACTAGATCTGCCTCTTCACACTTTTAGCCTTAATCCTAGTTTCAATATGTTGGGTCACATTTATCAGATAACATCAGTGGTAGTCAGTTGTCTCCAAATCGAAAAGCACATATTCCATCCCAAAAAGTTGTCAATAACCCTTTAAAATACAGACGCAGTGTCTTAGACGCAGAGCTTCAGRCGACAAATAATGACAGCAGTTCTGTCAGATTCTCTCAGTGAAATGATGAATTTTACACAATCCACTAGCTCAGCATCTAAACGTTGAGTAAACATAATGTGCAAAGAGTGTTTGTTTTTTTAAAACAGTGTCTTTTTAGGTCAGCACATGTCTGATTGTTGGAGTCACTTGAAAACAGGACATAAAGGCCCAGTAAACAGAACCACCGATGTCTCCACTCTGTGCTTCAGAAACACTTTCCATGGAAGTGCACGTCTCAGTTCGACACGCTTCTACTGAGTCCGTCTAACTTGTGCTCATAGAGATGATTGAAGCAATCACATCCCAAACACTCACTAATACACACTATGTATCATGTGAGGCTTTCTTCACTTCTTGTAATTGTATAATAGCTAAATTATATGCAATCAAAACAAAACGTGGGGCAATTTAAAAAAAAAAGAAAAAGGAAATCCCATAATTTAAATTTTTGATGCGGAAATGCTAAAGATTAAAATTTGCCTTCCAGCATTATTCCAAGCTGATTTAAAGCCAACCATCATTTTTCTTAATGGTTTAAAACTTGTAAACAAACTAGAGCCTTGGTTTTTAAAAAGGTGTAGGAGTTTGTGTAAAGTGAAGGAAATAAAAACCAACATGAAGCACACAGAGAGACAAAACTTTACCATAGTTTGTTAAAAAAATCCACTCTTTCACTTGCCTGATTTTTTCTGCTCACCACCATCTTCATTCATCCTGAAGTGCTTGAAAATGAGAACTAAAGATGAGATTTTTTAACTAGCGCACTGCAGAGGACAGATCACAATACTCCGGGATCTCCGCCTTGTTCTAAGATAAAATCAAGATTTAACACCCTGTTTAAAAAACCTCAGCTTTTGTAAACCTGACTCAATCGCCGATTCTGCCACAGTGGAGCCCGCTTTCTCCCAAACGTGACCAATGAGCACCATCACGTTACTCACAGAGACGGCCTGTGTTTTCCAAAATCAAACAGTTAACAAAATAAAGTAAAAAAATAAAAATAAAAGAAAAAGAAGAGGGAGACAACATCATCATCTTAGAGGCAGCTGAGGCCAATGTCAACACGAGAAGAATTACAAGCTGAACACGTCGCTCAAATCACATAACGGTTACGGAGCAGAGAGGTCGGGGGGAGCGGGGGGAGGACTTTGGAAGGCTGATCGCTCAGGATGAGGAGAGGGCTGGCTGAAGAGCTGAGGACCGTGTGGTTTAGACATGAATGAGTTCTGCTCGCCTCGAGACAAGTTCGTAATTGATCACATTAACATGTCCGGCTAAATATGATTGTCTTCGAAGTAACATTTTCGGGTAATGATTTGTAAAAATTATCAGGACTCTGCAGTCTGTACTTTCCCAAAAAACTCGTCCAATGTTCCTCCGCATCACACAGTGTCCTCCTCCACCTGCAGCCTGTCAGCTCAGCCCGGCTTCCTCTGGATTAACACCTCCTCTCCTCACTCGGGTGTAATTGCGACAAGGGGATCTCRGTGGCTAGACAATGGAGTCCCAGTCAAAGTCATCCTGGATGTCGTCGGCTGGCATGCGATGCATCTGGAAGTTTCTGGAAGTTATCATGTGCTGCTGGTTCATCTGCGCATGGTGTCCTGAAGAGAGTAGATGTGTGCAGAGAAGAAAAAAAAAGAGAGAAGGTGAGTTGCTGTTACTGGTCTATGAAACCACTTTAATCCTGCCTCATTAGCTGCTACCTGTCATCGTGGGTCCTGTGCTGCTCATGGGGGGCATGTGGGGATATCCTGGAGGACCCATCATGGGCATGCTCTGTCTCGAGTCCATGTAGAGATTTCCTAATGAGGGGAACAAAAATTCATTTAGGATCTTAGTTTAAGCAACAAAAGTCACAATCATGCAGAAAAAAATGAGAATAGAAAACAAAACTGCATTTTGCCTCTAATAAAATATTAACAGCCTGCCACAAAACTAAAAACTAATATTTCTTTCTGAAAAATAAGAAAAACAAGGTTAAATTATCTTTATTGAAATGTAAGTAAATACATGGAGATAAGGACCTGTGTTGAGGTGCTGGCTGGGTTTGTTGGTGTGCATGGGGCCATGGCAAACAGGACTCTGCACCGCCCCCTGTTGCTGAATTACTCCGGTCCGGGCAAAAAACTGGTTGATGGATGAGCAGAGGTCTGCAATCTGGGTGGGTTCAAGGCACCAATTGTTCAGCTCAGCCTGTCTCATGCTCTCTCTCAACCCTTGGAGACAAAAGAAAATACACATTTAAACACAGAAATGCATCTGAAATAAACCTACTATTAATAGAGCATAAACAGAATAACTAAAAAATTAATTTACACTAAAAACTTGGCTGCAGTATATAACATTTATGTCAGTAACCTTCAGTGGAYGATATTTAAAAAACATGCTACCTTGCATTCCTAGCCTCTAATTGGATAAACTGACCTGCTGAGCTCAGTGTTTCAGTAATTAAACTTGAAGGTGGTGTTATTTAATTGAAGAGCTCAGTTTAATTAAAGTTGCAATCAGCTCCATAGTGCCGACACACCAACACTCAATCAAAAAACCGGGGCACAGCCATATGATCAGCTTCTACATTTAAATGTCCGGGCCACATTTGGGCTGAGTTACAGCAGGTAAATCTGACAGGGAAACCTAAAATCCTAAAAAAAATGTTTAAAAATTAACTGAAACAACAAACTGGTCTTTAGGAATAAAAAAATAAACAACTTAGGTCTATTTGTTAAGTCGCACCTTGGAAAGGTGAAAGGTCAACATCTGCCCAGTTATAGCTGCTGGCAATACGACAGCTTTCTTTCAGTGCATCTAAATTTGGGTACCAGTCGGACAGTAACCCTGCAACACACAAACACAACACAGGATTTGTCACAGTTCAGGTGAGAGATTAGTCATGTTTTTATATTCGTGCATGCAGTGTCAAATAAATAAATAAATAAAGAAGATAGCATCACATAATAAGGTAGATAAACTGTTCAGTACTCAGAAGTGGCCACTAGGAGGAGCCAGGCGGCTCTGTAAAGTCAGTGTCTTCAGCACTGCTTTGTTCTCAGCAGCACAGATAATAAATCAGATGATGATTTATTGTTTAGCATCTGAAAATGTTATCTCTGTGATTTATGACTAAACGACGAGGAGTGAATCCTGTTTCAGCTGCAAACATGTTTTCTGCACTCTGCTTCATCGGGGTGTGAGATGATTGGGAGGAGAGAAAACAAAAAGGCGTCTCTGGTCCACATGAAGGCGGAGGGTCTTACCTGTGTTGCAGGCCATCTGCTGCTGGGTGGGATGGGGCTGGTGAGAGAGGCTCGGGTGCTGCTGTCCGTGTTGAGCCGGGTGCTGACTGTGCTGCGAGTGTTGGGAGGGGTGCGCCGCGTGTTGCTGCGGGTGCTGCCCGTGGGGTGGGTGCTGCCCGTGCTGGGGGTGAACGGCGTGCTGCGGGTGCTGAGAGTGCTGCGGGTGCTGACCGTGTTGGCCGTGGGTGCCGCCGTGTTGCGAGAGGTGCTGTGTGTGGGGTGAGCCGTGGCCGGGGTGGGACAGCGGCACCTGTCCACTGTTGGTGGCGTGGTTGTTGGGGTGGCTGTTGGGTTGGTTGTTTGATAGGTTGTTCTGAGTGTTAATGGTGCCACTGGGGGAGTGCTGATAGGAGCAGGAGGTGTGGGTCTGCTGGGAGTTATCTGACGGTATCCCCATCAGACCTGCAAAACAAAACACACAAACTCAAAACTGACAGAGTCCTATCACAAAAATCTTTTTCTTTTTAAATAAGGAGGCTATTATGAAGGTTATGGATTAATCTACATGTTATTTTCTCAACTAAATTATAGAAAATGTTTAGCAAGGTGCAAAACGACACCTTAAATTTACTACATTCCTAAATTCATTGGTTCCAGTAACTAAGTTGTAAGGCTTTCCCTTTTTCCTTTGTTTTAACTAGGGCTGCACAGCTTATAAAAATATCAGTGATTGAAATATCAATACAGCAAAGAGCTGCAATAAATCATTAAATCATTACATATCATTCAAGTGCCATGCATTCATGTTCTCAATGCTATTAGTATTTAAAAATAAAAAGTTACTTTGATCCCTGAGTGGATTTAATTATATTAAGTCAATCCACCTGGTTTAGATTATAGCAATATCAGAGGAGAAAGTGATAAAAATATGAGTTTATCACAACAAATTTAATATTAAACAATACTGCACATCGCAAGTTTTWTTTTTATTTTAAGGCCCTGTCACACTAGACAACTTATGCCAACTTTTGAACATTTTAAAGACATCTAAATTGAAGATGGAATTGTAAAAATCAACAAGAAGCTTCTTTTTGGCGTGCACATAATGTAATTCAAACAAATTGATCAAATACATAACTTTTATTAGCAAGTTAAACATAAATAAAAAATATGATTCATAAAAATGTTTCATAAGTTGGCATAAGTTTTCTAGTGTGACAGGGCCTTTACAGCCCTAGTTTTAAACACTTATTTCATAAAAAAACTATTTGTAGGCTCAGTAAATCACTAATAAAACCTTTTGTTACACCTTCAGAAAAAAAAAGTTTCAAAGCAAAAACTTTTAAGCACATAGGTAGAGTTATCCAGTATTTAAAAAGATCAGTTTCATCTTCTTACAGTCATGGGATACAGGCCTGTGTTTAATGGTTTTACTCTTAAAACAAAMCTGCTGCTATTTTGTTGTACTAAAGGAATGACTCAGCTCTGTAGTAATTTGAAGGTTCTCAGACCTGAGCTGCTGTCGTCTCTCTTCTCCAGCACTAAAGTCCTGCATCATCCTTGACTGAATTGTCGTGTTGCTGCCCAGCTCTTTAACTGCTGTGACTGGAGCAGGAACATCTGCACACCTAACTGCAATCATCTGAGTGGTGGGGAGTGGTCCTAAGAGGCCCCGTCCTTCACAGCTTTTGGCACAGTAAACCTATTTCACTAGAGTGCTTTTAGGGCCGACTCGAGCCTTGTACCTCCACAATCGGCACATAACACTCACTGCACGGGTGACAAAGGTGCATCTCTTATCAGCACAGAAAGCCCATTGTCTGACCAGGGAAATACAGAAAGCAATTAACGCGGCACCAGAATAATAATGCGAGCTCATTACCTATTATCAAAGCCAGTGAATTAGCTCACTGTCTATGGCGGCAGAGTGTAAAATCCTCCAGCTCGATTATTTATGCTTTTTAATTGCCGGAGCTTGTCTGACTAGAAGATTTCCCTTTTATGTGCAAGAAAAAAAAGGTAACAACTTTTAACTAATGAAACATAGATGATAGATTAAAGGCAAGAGACTCATTAGCATGAAATGCATTTGATTTGTGAAAGTGGGTTATACACAGAAAGCTCAGTTTACTTCCTTGGTTGTCAAGTGCCTCSTGTTGATCAGTCAGTCTGACTTTTGCTCTGCAGGACCTCAGCACTTTTGGAAAGCTGTGTTATGCCCCACTATGCATTAAATGATACAAAACCCCATCAATGAGATAAATTCAATGTTAGGCCAATTTTAGCTGCCAATGAGCTCTTCCACTCGTCTGATGAAATTTGGCCCACATAAAAAGAAGAAAAAAATAACCATTTGAAACACGACCAAACACATTTAACTTTCATGTCATGGCAAAACTAGAAAGTAGAGAATTAATGATTAAGTGCAGCAATATCTCTTTACATAATTCTTTACTTAAGGAAGAACTTCTCAGACTCACATTTAGAATATAAAATGAGGTCTTTCAACATTTCCCTGGCAGAAGACCATGAAAATTCTCCGTATAGATTTGCATCCCAGCCAAGTCAGCCAGCTGAATACCTGCTGGCTTCCAGTAAACTTCATTAGTGCCTAAAGACTTCCTATAGCCCCAGCTGTTAGGAACCCGGAGCATCATCCTGCTCCTTTAATACGTATAGCTTAGGCTCTTTTAGATTTTCATTCAGTGCCCTCATGAGGCCACTCACCTTGTTGGCTGAAAGACTGCTCAAAAACAGACTTATAAAGGCTGCGGAAGGAGGCACTGAGATTTTCAAACTCCGAGAACAGAAGCTGCTTGTCCCTGTCTGGCAAGTTGTACTGGGACTGTGGCGGCTGCTGCAGGCTCATCGACTGGGACACAGTTTCTGGGTGACTGGTTACCTGGGGAGGTAAGGACATGAAAACTGTTGAAGATGTAAAGACGGGAAGCATATTTTTAACAAGGGCAAGTTTGTTTTTTTTTCTTGCCACTTCAGTAGAAAGCACAACTGAATATCTGAATATTAGTATCTTAGCTTCTTCATCATCAGTAAAACAAGTGAAAGGTTGATTAAATCTATTACAGAAAAGCACTGCAGAAAACAGGGACAATTCGTACAATTTTTACAAACAGACCTGTTACGCCCCTAAATATGGAACAAATAATGATCAAACATACAGAATATTTTATGCACATCAGTCATAAAACACTAGGCAAACAAAAGCACGGTAACATTCTTATGTGATGTGAATTTAATAGGTTTTATTTCTATATGAGTACGTCTCAGTCATCCAACATGAACAAATTAGACATACAGTATCACAACAATCCAGGCCAGTGTTTACCGCCTTGCCTCATACAACATTAAGAGAGCAACTGGAATGGACATAAAGCCAATACTCAGGTGGCTAAGCAAAATGTATTTAAAACAAAATCAATAGCAATACCTTGTACAAATAAGCAGCCATTTTATCCATGTATTTGTGTGGGCAGTCAGCGTTATACCCTGCCTCTGGCTGCAAGACGGCGAGCAGCATTTCCTCCAGCTAAGAGTTTCTCTAAGAAATTTACTACAGCCAGGCCAGTGATACAAACACATTTCTTTCTTTTTTTTTTTCTACAGAGCAGGACCTGACCCGTGTCCACTGTGGGCTAGTTTTACAAGAGAGGTCATGTTCAATTTTTGATCCTAACATCTTCCTCTTCTAACATGTGGACATGTTGCCGAAGAGCGTGGCTCACAGACTGGCTCGGGGAAGAGTGAAGAGGTGATAATAAAGCCAGAGTGTTTACTGGGAGCTTTGGCTGCGAGAGCGAGAGAGAGAGCGAGCGAGCGAGAGAGAGCGAGAGAGAGCGAGCGAGTGCAAGCACATCCATCAGGCAGAGCCAATCGATGCTCAGCGCCTGGAGCAGGGAGCACTCCAGGATGCAGGAGGACCACACCAAAGAGGGGGCATCTCTGGTGGGAGGACATCAGAGGGAGCGCTTCTCTTTGTCTGGATTCCAGGAGCGAGCACATCTTTCTTTGTTTCTTTTAACCCCCTTCCTGATGCTGTACTCTCGCACATGTCCACCCTGAACCTCGGTCTATTGCTGTCTACAGCTGGCTCCTCTGAAGGAGGCCTCCTGGGGCTTTGTGAATAAATGAAATACAGTACGCTTTCTAAGGCTGGCAATGTTTCATTCGTATCCTTTTAGTAACTGTGGCTCTTCAGCGGACTGAAAATATAGATTTAAATAATTACACAAAAATGTATAAAAAATGAAAAAGTTTCTTCAGCATCTTAAAAATGTAATTGTGTAGTATTTACTTTAGACCTACCAACAAGTATTTAACATAAAGAAACTAATTAGAACTTCCACATTATGCTAATTTGTTGCTACGTACCACCACCACCACAAATTAAAATCTGATTTTTGGTGCATCAGTGTGCTGCTACAGGTGTTCTGTGTTTCATTTTTGACTCTTGTAGCTTTCATAATGCTTTGCTTCAGATGAAGTCCTCAAAAATATTGTTTTCACCATAAGCTGTTGTCCGACTGAAGATTCATTCTTGCTCGTTTCTTACCGGTGTATAGCTGTGAACGCTGCCCACACTGTTGAGATTGACGGAGGCCAGACTCTGATCAGACAGGCTGTTGTTAAGGCTGCTTCTTGGACTATCGCTACCTTCCTGGTCTGTGTTGTATAACGCCACCTGAAACACATACACGTGCGTAAGCTTTCACGCCACATAAACACACACTAATTATTGTCATCAATGTCATTTCCTCTGTTGTGAAAGACAGAGGGTGTCATCTTTCCACAGACAAAACAGGTATGGAAAGTAAAGCTATTTTAAGATTCACCAACATGAAGTATTTCATTTAGAAATGTAAAGCCTATGTGCAGTCATACACACAGGCTGTATAGCAGTGGTTTTAAATGAGTATGTTTTTGAAGACACGGGGTAATGTTCTTTCAGTCACTGAGGGGTTCTATCTGAATGTGTAAGGGGGTCTGGAGACAGACGAGGCATTCCCATCGCTAAAGGTCACAGTACTGACAATGTCAGGCACATCTGCTCACCGAACGCAAATCTGTTTGGGACAGCCAACAAAGGATTTCAGTGCAGCCGAGACACTGACCTTTCAGTGTCTGAGTAAAACTAGCAGAAGCACTTCAGGACGACAACTTAATTTTCATCAATTAAGGTTCTGTCCTCAACCCTTCTCAAATAAAGAGCTCATCAAACAGTTAACACAATAGTAAGCACAATTCAGATAATAAATTTAATGATACCCACAGGGACTAGTCCGTGTGCTAAGTTTTGTTTAGTGAGCGAGGAATGGCAGTAATGCCCTGATGTTGTTGCAATGGAATAGAGCCTGGTATTTTAGGATTGTTATGTGTGTCCCTCCGTGGCTGAAAGCAGCATGGTGGCTTCTGCTCATTGCTGTGATTGGAACAGAGCAGGCTCTGTGATGAGCACAATGAGACAGCAGTGGCAAGATTCTTCAGGCTGCCCAGCATCCTGCCTCACAGCGGCAGCAGTGGACTGGAGCCTCTYGTCTTTCTGTCGAGCCGTGGAGAGTGAGCACAGAGGCCGTGCAGGAGGTGAGGAACTCTGGCAGCTCTGACTGATAGTTGGCCAGCCGTCAGACATGCTGGTTCAAATCCAAAACGTGTAGTTTATGCCCACTCATATTGACCAGTTGTAATTGAGTGTGTGAGAAGGAACTGATATGTGGAATTTCGGCATCACTTTTTTTTTGGAAGAGGGGTAAGGCAGAGTGAGAGCAGGACAAGGATTTGAAAAGAGAAGCTCATTAGGCAACTGTAGCTTTCCTCCACTCAGTGTGGGCTTGGCTCCAGTGTTCATTAGCGTGAAGGAACTTAACGAGCAGCTAAGACTAAAGACTTGAGCACAATCAGCTCTACAATGCTAATCAAAAACAGCGTGCCACAGAAATATAAATGTTGTGTAATGAAGTCATAAAACAAGCTTTTATGCCCGAAGTCTCTCACCACAATCTATTTTTACTCAGCCATAAAGTGTGATGATTTCAAAACCTCACTGCTTTGTGGTTTACCCCGGCCAACCCTTCCCRAGTCCCCTGAGTGAAGACACCCACTTAAGTAGGCATTGTGAGTCCAACAGAGTCCCATCTCACCCACATACAGGGAAGCGTGCACTTACACATGACAAAAAACACTTTACTACAATTAGGTGCGTGCACAGGTAGGATAAGCACACACACCGGCAAACGCAAACATGCTCGTACAGGCAGGAGTGGCTCCACAGTAACGACTGTGGGGTTATTAAGCAACAAAGTCGGAGTGCTATTCTTAGAAGTGAATTAAGTAAAAAGCCAAAGGTGTCCTTTACAAGGGGGTGGAGGGGGMTAATCTAGAGCATGACACATGGATTATGAAATCAAAGCAAGATTGGCCCAGGTGTCTCCAACGATGCCAGCAGAAAGCAGACGCTGAGCGCAATCCCTGCATGCAGGAATGAACAGACAGACACAGGGGAAGACAGTCATAAAAACAGACTGTTCAGCTGTAAGTGAGCCTGTTTCTAACAATCTCTTTTTCTGCTCAATCATTACACTTCAACGCTAAAATTTCACCCCATTTACACCAATGTTTTGGGAATCCTCAGAACACAAATTTAAGGAGGTGGCAAATAAAAAAATCACAGTTTTTGTGACGAGGGCAAAGGGAGGGGGAAAAATGAGAAAATCAGCACAATCTCAGAAAAGTCAGACAGAAAAGAGAATAGAGGTATTTCTTTAGTTCAGTGGTCGCCTCTCCCATTGGTCTATCAGGGAAGGCGGGAATGAGGGAGAGAGAGAGAGAGAGACTGGAATAAAAAGACTGAGAAAAACAGAGAGGGAATTCCTGTGGCTTGGCACGGAGCACCGAAAGAGGCGTGGCTTGTCGTGTGTTTACAGTGTAAGGCAGTGAGAAACAAGCTCTCTCCAAGGAGTTTGGGCCTCAGATCTGTTGCTATTCCACTTTTTCTTCTGTTCACTTTGTCACTTCACAATGGATTTTGACACAATCAAATGAACAGAAGATGAAAAAAAAAATGTTTTTGATGATCAAAAAGTAGATGCGTTAGGTTCTTTTTAATTTCTTCTGCTTGTTGCTGTTC